ATATATATATATATATACATTTATATATATATATATAAATCTCGACTAAAGTTTCTTCTTTCTCTTCGAGTTTACGACGATGCGATATTCTCTTTATTCTCTCTTCAGAACACCGCGAGATGTAACAAATCCGTCTAGATATTCCTCTTAAAGAGTGTACTTGGAATTGTGTTGAAAATAAACAAGTAGAGAAAGAAAGAGAGAGAGAGAGAGAGAAAATAAGAAAGTAGGGAAGATGGAATGGACTAAGAAATTAAAGGGTGAGTAAAAAGAAATAGAGAGAAAGAAATAAAAACGATAGAAAACGTTGAAAACTATTCCGAAACTTTACGTAATCTCGAAAACGACGAATTCGAGAAAGTAGAGAAAAAGATTTATATGTGTACGTATTATAAGATCAATAGAAATTAGGTATCGATATTGGCAGACTATTTTGAATAAAAAAAGAAAAAAACAACCTTGATTGAAATTTGAAAGAAATTGTAAAGATGTACAATTTACAGCATTGCATTCTCTGACATTTTCTGAACTTTACATGCTAAATTTATAACTCGATATGATATTCTATGCGTAGAGAAAAGAATGTACTTTAATTTAATATAAGTTTTATTAAAATCTATTTACTTTTAGTATAAAAAATATTTACCAAAACTTTACAAAGAAATTGCAAAGATGCACAATTTACAGTATCGCATTCTCTGACATTTTCTGAACTTTACATGCTAAATTTATAACTCCATATGGTATTCTACGCGTAGACAAAAGAGTGTACTTTAATTTAATATAAGTTTCATTAAATTCTATTCACACTTTTAGTATAAAAAATATTTACCAAAACTTTTCAATGCACATTGAATTATTTAATTACAAATTACATTATTTACCAAAAATTTATAATGCACATGTATATACACATAGGCGAAATTCTCGTCTACTTTTTCAACCTCTTTTACGCCGTCATTTTAAAATCTACATTGGTGTATCTCTGCTATAAGGTCAGAGCACTCTTAAGTATACAGTATACCTATATATGTATGCATGCACACATGTATCCATGTGTATTTGTATGTATGTATATACACTATACAACGAAGGAAGACGAATAGGATAAAAAATGTTATTTCTCAAGGCTCTTGGCAATCTAATACATTCGAAAAAGAGGTTTTACTCGTAACTAAATTATACTGCTCATAATTCATATCTCATTTTAACTTATTAAGGTTTCATTCAAAGGTATGAAAGATCAAGGCAACGTAATTAATGTTCTTTTTCTTTCTAATTTTACATATTACATATACTTTGAAGATTATATTAAAGGAAACAAATATTTAAATGTTACGAGATTTTAATTCTTATAAAAAATGAACAACGATGAACGCTTATTTGGAAAAGAAATAAATCGAATCTAACACCTTTTGTGTTCAGATTTTCGTAGTAAATTATTCGTACATCTGCATCTTTCGAATTTATGGGGAAAAATATATACACACACACACACACACACACACGTGCATACAAAAGCCTCTTTCGCAGGAACACCAAAAAGCGTTGCCTATGGGTAGATATGTACGCACAATAAATTAATTGCTTCATAAAACTGGTACATACAATAAACCGCGATGTTCTATCCGGAAATTCCTATCGAATTTATAGCCGTTTATCCACAGATATAATCGCGACGCCCCATTAACCTGACCAACCATTTGAACTTTCTTCTCTTCTTACAAACGATACGATACTATACTATATTATATGATATTATATTTTTCTCTTACCATTTAACGTGGTCCAATTTCTTTACACAACTTTTAACACTATTATAATTATTTATTTTCTAATATAAATATGTCATCTCGTAAGCATCGAAGTTTAATGATCAATTAAATGCAATTCAATTAAAATTCAAGTTTAGTTAAATTCAATTGAATATAAAAACTTATTTCAAATATTATATATCATATTATAATTCGTACGAATGCCAAATATTCGAAAATGATTATTAATTGTACAAAAATTTTCAAATTTATATATCGATAATATTAATCATAAGAAGAAAAAAAATTCGAAAATAAAATAATGGAAATAGGTATAATGTGATAAAAGTTTTTTTAAGACGTCGGAAAAAGAAATTATAAATATAAGAAATTGTCCAATGCTAACAGGATTGGTAAATACACACGAAGGATATATTTTTTGTAGAGAAAAAGTAAGTTGCAATAAATCTAAAGAGAGTGAACCTAAAGAACAACGGGCTATCTCGCAAAATCGTCTTCATATACGGTTGCTAGATTGTTATCGGTTAACTCTATTTACGCAAGAGAACAAAATATTTATACATGTACATTTACCTCCCACACGAAGAAAGATATCAAAGAAAATAATCTCCCAACGTAAAATTACTTTTATCTATTCTTTTATTTTATTTCGCCGAGACAATTTTTACTGAATCCCACGTGAACGTGAAAATATTATATTCACAAAAAAAAAAAAAAAAAAATTAAAAAAATAAATAAATAAATAAATTTTTTCTTTCCATACGATCTGCTAGGTCAATTATCTTTTTTCTTCTTCTTATATATATATATATAAAAAAAATTATGATACATTCGTAAAATATATTTTTTACGTTTACACCAATATGCAAAATTTATTATTTCCTTCATTTATTTTTTTTCTTTTTGAGACGAAAAAGTGCAAACGTTTAGATATATTTACGATTTACGCTCACTGTATAGATTAATATTTGTAAATAGTACACGCGCACGCGCAAACAGATAGGAAAAAGGTGGAAAAATTCGTAGCTCCTTTTTTCGAGTGACACTCAAACGAAAATTGAAACGAGAAAGCATAATTTCTTGGCTTCTCGCGAGCCGTGTGCGTTTCGTTCGACTACGACGACGAAAAGCTTTTTAATTACAGCTTCATGTTTTACGACAGAAAGAGAAAAAAAGGCTTATAAATCCAACGTCACGGAATAAATTCGACGGAATTGCGAGAGGGCGCGCGTCGTTCCGTATGGAAAGTTAATTTTTTTTTGTTTTTTTCTTTTCTTTTTTTTTCCCCCCCCCCCTCCCCCGTTAAAAATCGAATAAACTTTGTTTTCTCTAATTCTTTTATTATTTTTTCGTTACGCATGTAAATTCATAAGTTAAGCTTGTACTTCATATCACGATACGATATGTAAAGAGTTAGCTTTACAAATTCTCAAAAAAAAAAAGGAAAAAGAAAAAGAAAAAAATGTCATTGATTTATAAGATCACCTCGAAACTTTGCACAAATTCTACTTCGTATAATTAAATTATAATATTTAATTAACTCCATGTGTTGTATTCGTGAATAATCTTTATTAAAGTTCAAACCTACCGATCGTTCAATAACACTTCACTTTTTTATCGATTTAAAAAAAAAAAGGAAAAAAAAGAAAGAAAGAGGAAAAAATTACCAAAAAAAGAAAAAAAAATATAACAACCGTTCACAGACCAAATTGATTAAATTTTGTTTTATAATGTTTCTTTTAAATTCTTAATTCAAATAAACACCAAATCGATGTTTTAATATTTTAATATAAAAAATACATTTTCTGTCTTCTTTATTATAGACACTTAACGCTACTAATTAAAGAAAAATTGTTTATACACTTTGAATATAATAAATTATATTACAATATATATGTTTGTATGTATGTATGTTTTTTACTTTTTATTGTGTAAACAAAATTTCTAAATAATATTATGCGTGGACCAAAAAGAGTAATGTCAATAAAAAATTCAATATATATTAATTACAACAAATTATTTGAAAAAAAAAAAACAAACATTAATCGAATTAGCAAACAAATGACTACACACATAACATCGTTCCCATTCTTACATCACACCTAATCTAAAAAATATCAATGTATTAAGAAACATTGCATAATAAATAACAATAGAAACCTAAGATATAATTTGTAAAAAGAAGGAAAAAATAATGTGCATGAGGTTTTGTCCGTCGAATAAGAAAATTTTCATTGGTTGGTAAGATAAATGTGAAGAGTATTAAAGAGGATGAGCAAGGAGAGAAGAGGTAAAAGGGGTTGGTTGAGAGGGAGTAGTAGGTGAAGAAGCAATTAAGAGACGTACGTTTAATGATATTATCAGAATGTCTAAGGTTTTCCGATAGTCAACGAGCTTTTGATCGGATTATCGAGGAAACTTTAAGCAAGGACAAGAGAGGAAAGAGAGAGAGAGAGAGAGAGAGTAGAGAGGAGAAAAGTTGATGAGATGGTTCGTGCTCAGTTGTCGTCTTTGTCATACTTTGAACGACATAAAGAAAGATAAGAAGAGACAAGGAAGAGTTCTTGAATGCTCGATTTCACGCTTGTCGTTACATAATATCGATGTCAATATTTATGATGAAATACGTGTTCTATATAATTATTTATTATGTATATATAATTAACCCTTAATCCATAAACATTAAAAAACTTTACCGCGTCAATAAGTAAATTTGTTAAATGTGTAAAGTTTACTTTGTGTTTTAGGTATGTATATTTACAATAATAACATTGTTTCACTTTCATTTTGAAAACTTTACTCTTATCTGATATGCTAATTCTCAATTTTGTCAATCAATGTTTTTCTTATTTAAAAATAAAATACTAAAAAGTGTTTCTCTGTGTAAATATATATATATATATATTATATATTTTATAATTCATAACATGTAATGAGAGAGAGAGAAAGTTATATTATATAAATTTAAATTTGTAATATATATTTTTAATATATTTTCTAAATTTCACATATATATATATTTAGATAAATAAAACTGTATAGTGCATTATTTATTTAAATATAAACTACTAAAAATTCCCTAATTACACTTATTGGTTAATCCAATAAAAATATGTATAAATTATTACAAATATTTCTATAAGATTATTACCCAATTAAATATGTTTAGAAATAGAATGATTATGATTTATTTAAACTGTAACAGTAACATATGCACATACATACCTCGTGTTATAGATTAAAATTGACTGAGCAGAAGAATGATAACAACCACGTAAGACCTTAACTCGACTCGTCTCGGTTCTCATCGATTCTTCTCGGCTTTTTTTAATGAACTTTTCTTTCCTGCATTCTCTTCGTGGAATTTCGATGCTTCCTAGAAACGTTCTCACGAATCGTCGTAGATGTTGTTGTTGTTGATTCCTTTTTTCTTTCATCACTAATCGCAGTTTTATCGCTGTATGAACAAATTCGAACGATTTATCATAGAAACATTATTCGCAGTATACATACGCATGTACTAATTTTTACATATAATTTATACATGCATATGTAGATTCAATATTTATATAATTTATGCATAACGATTAAAACATTGGAAATTTGTATAAAATTAGCGATGGAAACGTGAATAAAAATGTAATAATTATCGAACAATAATTAAATAAGATAATCTAATAACAATAGGTCGAGCATTTACAAAAATGGGATATGTAAAAAACATTACAATTTATTTTATTAACAATTCAATCATTTTAAACACAGATAAATAACGAGATTTGACAAGAAATATATATATATATATATATATAAGTAGACGATATTCTATAATAAATTAATAAATTATGATATAAAATTAAATATTATCAAGAATAAATCCACTGATTAAAATCGAATCGGCGAATAATATTTTCCAAAGTACTAACAAGTGTTCATACGTATTAGCAAAATAATTGAAACAACGTTATTTAATCCAACAAATCTACATATGTATGTTCTTTATATTACATATATATGTGCAAACAATTCAATCATTTTTTGAACATATTTTAAATCATTTTCATTAGATTCGTTAAGTATAACTTTGTCGATAGAAAAATTGATCACATGTCGTATTTAAACGATTTTAAATCCAGGATATTCGAAGAAGGAAAAGTTACAGTAATAAAAAAATTCTTAAGAACATAAAATTATACGAAGTCAAAAGAACACGAAAGTTACTTTTAAATAAATTACAAAAATGTTATATTTACGATCGCAGTTAGAACACTTTTTTGTAACACTTTTTTCTAACTTTACGCTATCCACCCCGTGATATATTATAAAAACTAACTTGAAAGCATCTATTTCTGTGAAAAAATAAGGGCTAGCTTGTAAAATTAATTTGAAGTAGATTGAATAGTTAATTCGTAATTGCGACGCTTTGAACAAAGGGGTTGGCACTGCTATCTATATTATATATTGAGATGAAAACTTTTTGTTAATCAAGATGGCGAGAAGTGCGATAATTATTTGTTTCGTGTTAAAATTTTACTTCCTCATTTTTCGGCAAAAATAATTTTTCATGGATAAAAATTAAATATAACAATACCGAATATACGTATAAATAATGTTTGATGTGTTTTCATGCGTTATGAACTTGAACACGTGTATTGAATTTGAAGAAAGAAAAAAGATTCTAACATTTTGCATGCAAGAAAAGAACAATATCCTAATATCCAATAGTAAATCATTCTATTAATTACGAAAGTACTTAACAAATCGTCAAAAAATTATATAAACATCATATTAATTTTGTTGTTTCGATAGAATAAATGATCAAAATAATGGATTATTAAATTAAACGAAAAAATAATCACAGTTGTGTTTTGTTTTTCTTTCATGATGTCAAAGCATTTGGAAATATTCTCTCTCGAAATTGAAATTAATAATTGAAAATAGAATTTGAAAATGCCTACATTGAAAATGCATAAATATATATATATAGGTATACATATACATATCTATGTATAACATTTGCATCGTTTGATTAACGACTGTGCTTTTGAATAGAAATTTAATTTCTATATGCTTGTAAATATGATACTCTATTTAAACGATAATCACTTTATATAGAAAGAGGTACTCGATTCTCAAAGCTTACTCGTTAAACAGAATATGAAAATATATGTTTGTACATACATACAATCATTTGATATAATTTATAATGAGTGCTGATTACACGTTAATGAAATAATGACAAGTATATACCTTTAGCAAAAGCTAAAGCAATAGTTTCTATGTGTATGTGTATACGTGTATATATTTATATATTTATGTACACGAAAATAATGATCGATGTTATTCTCATAATATAGTATCACCTACTTTCAAATTAATAATTTATTGTTAATCCAACATTTCAGATCGTTGATATTTTTATTTTCAATTAATTTATACGTTGGTGGGTTGAAATTGTCCAATTCTAACATAGAAACACAATTCTTGTTTTACGGTTACTCACTTCTAATTAAAAAAAAGTAAAAGATTCTTTTTGTGTTGCAGATGAAAACTTGTCAACCCACCTTTGTATATTATAAATCAGTATAAAAATAGAAAAACAAAATATCTCGAAATATTTGGCACACATATTTGTTTATTATTTGCGTAAACGTGTTCGATTACTTTCAAATTTATCAATTAAACAAATTTATAAAATTAAATATGTAGGGTCGTGAAAAAAAAAAAAAAGAATTATTTTCAGTCCAATTCGCGTTGCAGCAAATGGATTCTTTTATTCTTACTTTTTTTTTCTTTATATTTTATCTCATTCGATCTCACAGAAGAATGAAATTAGGCGTACCAGTGACACGCTCGTTCGCTTGATTTTTCCTGCGTCTAGGTCGAAAATTTATGCGATAAAAACCGTTGAAAACCGTTGGGAAATAAAGAACTTTAGGTTAGCTCGTTGCTTTAAATTCGTTGCAGCTTTTACACATTTTTTCCTCCTTTTCCTCTTCCTTCTTTTTTTTTTTTTTATTAATTCATTTTTTCCATTTGTTGCAACTATTATCGAATATAACCGAAAAAAAAAAAAAGAAAAAATCGAATCCGTCGAGTGGAAAAAAGGTTTATTTTACGAGTCGTGAATAATCCTAACTAAATAAAATAAAATACGAAAAAGGAAAAAATATGAAAATAGAAAGGGAAGCAAAAAATGGCGGATCAAAATAAAATCGTGTGCGAGATATTCGATGATATTTACCTGTATTCGTCACGAACATTCGTCGGACTGCATTCTTTTGCGAAACAACAGCAACGAAATTAAATAAATCCAAAGTAAAACCAAATTTTCGATGATCACGTATGGTGCAAAAAATTGACGACGATTACGGGGAAACTCGCGAGACTATCGATCTTCTCGTTGAAAAATTTTCCACACGATTTATAAACGTTTCAATGTGTCCTTCGTTCGAAAAATCTCGAATGGTCTCACTCGCGTTGTAGATAATTCGTGTAATTTAAATGAATAACTAAACGGATATCACACTTTAAGGTTCCCCTTTACAGTTTCGTTGATCATTTATTTGTAGTTTTTTATTTTCTTCGGATAACATATCAAATATTATCAATAATACAGCACGCGCGATGATAACACACACTCGCGTTATTTTATTACGACAACAATACACAAACAATATCCTTTTGATCTAATATTATTTATACATTTGTTTCTCGATTTTATGATATAATTTATGTTACTTTATTTTTTCATTATTATTTTTCACGAATGTTTAGATATATTTTTCTTGAATTAATAATTTGTATTGAAAATTTGTCGATTATACACTGGTATCATCACACTGTGGTATTACAGGAACGAAGGAAAAGAACTAAAATCCTTTTACATATATACGCATGTCCATGTACGATGCGCGAATGACGCACAAGTCACGAGGTCAAGATATGTAGATCGAAAAAAAACGAGCTTGCCAAATCTCGTCATTAATTTGAACCAATAATAATACTAAATAAACGTCAATTAAAAGCTAGATTTAATTGAACATAACGATGTTTTTAGTGTCACATATCGATTTATCAAACACACTGACAACATTATCTTCCTGAACCATATTAAAAGAGAAACAAGAGAAAACAAGAAAAGCAAAAAAAAGAAACAGCAATAATAAAAAAAGGAAATTTCACTTTATCGAAAACACACTATTAACGTTCACCCCCAGTTCACGTATCCTTGATAACCAAATTTATTATCTTATTCTATTCATTTATTTTCTTTTTTCTCTTATATTAAATGTTCTCGAGAAAATTTTCAAATTCACTATTGAAAAAATATAATGTTTGACTTAATCACAAATTCGTATAATTAAAAGAAACATTATATGATATAATTGTGTGTTTGGATGACAGTTCGTTGTATGAAAAAAAAGGAATGAAGAGAAATAGACGACAAAAAGCCCATCCGAAAACCGTGCGCGCCGAGGATCGGGCGGTGACTGAAATCGCCGTTCTGTCTTGCTCTCTATCTTCCTCTCACTTTCCCCTTCACCCCACCACCAAAGCCACGTTTGCGCCCTCTCTTTATCTCTTTCTCTCACTCTTACCCCCTTAGTCGTCTCACACTCTAACTCGAAACTACCCCTTCCTTTATCAAATTCTCTCTATCTCTCTCTTTCTCTCTCTGTCTCTCTCATACAATCTCTTTATTTTTGTTCTCTTTCTAACACATACATATATATTTTTCTCTTTCTATCATTGCTTGCTTTTCTATCAATCTCTCTCTCTCTCTCTCTCTCTCAGTTTCTCTAATTCTTTTTTTCCGCATAGAATATTTCTTTTATCCATCCCTTACGCACCATTCATTTTCTCTTATTTTATCTGTCGGTATTTCTCTTTCTCTTTCTAATAATTTTTCTCTTTTCAATCTTCTACATCGTTCGCGCCAAAGGTCTTTGCATCGTTTCCCTTTCTATCTCCCTTTAACTTGATAATTTCTTTGATTCACACACACACTCACACATCTGCACTCCGCTTTTTCTCTCTCTCTCTCTCTCTCTTTTTATTTCTCTTTCTTTTATATTTCCTTTAAGAGCATTCAATGAGGCAATGAAAAGTGCCACGCCTACTCCATCCTTAGATTTATATATACATGTGTATGTGTGTATGTGTCTGTGTGTGTTTGTGTGTTAGTGATGCGAAAGTAACTCTAAACCTAGAACCTTGTAACGTTTAACTTTTCATCATCCTTTTTGTCCTAATGTCTGAACTTGTTGGAATTCTCTAAACTCACTCGTATTTCTACTACCTATCCTTTCTCTAGATCATTCCTCGTAATTCTATGTAAGTATTTATTCATTCGTTTATTTATTCATTTATTTATTTATTTATTCATTTATTTATTTATTTATTTATTTATTTATTCGAATAAAAATGTCGAGAAAAATGTTCTTTCCACGATTATATGGACACACGTCGTATCTTTGATAATTTCTGAAAACTAATTTAAATGTTATACGTTGGAGAAAATTTTATCGACGATATTTAATCGAATCTCGACCATTTATGCGAATTTTTGTAAATCATAAATTATCGTTGTACATCGAGATAATTAAAAACACCCTTGAGAATTAAACCGATAAACTCTAATATAATATCACACATTATCTCAATCTTAAATATATAATTTAACATATATTTCTATCAATAAAAATAAATCCATACTCATTACCATTGATATCTATATATATATATATATATATATATAATCTCCATATTTTATTTAGTAATAAAATATTCGAATATTAAACAAAATCGGAAACGTTTATAACTCGCATAGGATTTATAAATCTTTAATAAATATAAAACTAAACTTGTAAAGTAAATCGCGTAAATAAAATATATAAGATTGCATACGTCTTATATTTGCATCTGCATGTATATATCTAAAGAAATATATAAACAAATACTTCTAAACAATAATGTCAACAATTTCAATCAAAATTTAACATAAATCATTTAAAAAAGATATACATTAAATAATATATATTATACATTCATTTAAACAAAATAAATCAAAAAATTCATGACTACGGTGTCTCCAATTTTTCAAACAAATAAATAAAATAAAATAAAATAAAACAAAACAAACCCCAAAACAACGTATAAAATATTAAATTTGAAAAGCATTTATAAAACGAAAGGGAAAAGGGAATCGATGGATAATATAAATCAGTGGGAAGTACGAAACGAGGCTTGTAGGTGTTTCGAAAGTAAAGGATAGAGGGTTATACATTTGTCTATGTCTATGCATCTATGTCTCCTCCCCATATCTATGCGTCTATATATATATATATGTGTGTGTGTATGTAGGAAAACGCAACGTGACTCGGTCGAGAATTTCAACCCGAGGGATGTAACTGCAGCTGGGCGTCGTCTCAATGGCGCAGCGACGCCGCCACCGTCGCGAAGTTAGGCTAGGTCAGGGTGGGAGGTCAGATTAGAGTGGGAGGATGAGAAGGTAGTGGAAAGAAGAGGAGGAGGGTGAGGGTGAGGAAGATGGTGAGAGTGAGGAAGAGGGTGAAACTGAGGATGAGGATGAGGATGAGGATGAGGATGAGGGTGAGGCTATGAAGCTGAGGCTGCTAGGTTGAGGGTGAGGATGAGAAACTAGGGATGGGGTTGAGAGTGGAGGTGAAGGAGGACGCAGTAAGGTCACAATACCACCGCCGGCTAGATTTCATCGAGGACGAGACTTTTTGTCCGCGAGCAGTCAGAAATGTTGAACGTGTTCGCTGCCAGGAAGGCAGGCAGGCAAGCAAGCAAGCAAGCAAGCAAGCAGATTGGAGGATCTCAGCTAAAAATCCCTATTTTTTTTTCTTTTTCTTCTTCTTCTTTTTCTTCTACTTCTTTTTTTTATTTTTTTGTCTTTCCTTTCCCTCGCCCTTTTTGTCTCACACTTTTTTTTCCCCCCTCCCGTTCTGTCCCCCCTCGTTTTTATTCGTATTAACTTTTTCTCGTTTTTGATTGGTATCGTATTTCCTTTTTTTTTTTTTATTCTATTTGGGAATACTCGAAATTTTCGTATCGATTGCGAATACGTATGTAGGGTTATGTTTTATCTTGTATCTTTTCTCTTTTTCCCCCCCCCCCTACTTTTCTTTCATTTCTTTTTTCTTTCTTTTTTTTTCGTATGAAATATCTTACTCTTGTTAAATAATATTTTTCAGGATAAATGATACTCTTGTTATATAGATAATAACGAGATTACGTCTACTTGCGCGTTAGATATTAAATATTCGTCTTCTTTCTATGTAAATTTGATTAAAGAAAAATCTTAGAAATATTAAAAGAGTAAAATTTAATTTTACACGAATAAAGAATACATTTTAATTATATCTTGAAATAATAATTGATAATATTTCTGTAAAAAAAAATAGTTTTAAGAAACTTTCTTAGTCTATTACGTTAACATCCATACCCTTTTAAATTTTCTAGAGTCGATTTTACTTTCCGTGAAATTAGATAGGAAAGAAATTTTTGTAAAATTTTTATAAAAATTTCTCTCTCTCTCTCTCTCTTTCTCTCTCTCCCTCTCTCTCTTTCAAGATGGTAAAGCCTTTGGAAGTATCAATATCGTGTACACTCATTTTATGTCGCCTCTTTTCAGCGGTTTCGCTTCATACGTATTATACGTTAGAGCGTGCGGAAGCTCTTTCAGGTGGTTTAGCCAAAACTTCCCTAGCAAACTAAAAACTTAAAGCCCTGTACGCGCAAATATCGATCTTGTACGTTTTTTTTTTTCATTAAGATAACCATAATATTTATTCTAAAGACATACATTACATACACATTTTTGATTTATTAATATTTTCATCAATTCAACAATTATTAACTCTATATGTATATTTCATTTTTAACTTATATTTGTTTAATTTTATTCTCAATTTTTGTAACCTTTATATATTATATATAAGTCTCAAAGGGAGTTATAGACGGTTAATAAATCTTATGAACAATTAATTTGAACTAGTTGCTAGTTGCTAGTTGCTAGTTGCTAGTTGCTACAACTAGTTCAAATTAATTGTTCATAAGATTTATTAACCGTCTATAACTCCTTTTGAGACTTATATATTAATAACATATTTGTGGACAAGAATATTGATAATTAAATTTATATATTATCTTCTAACACACGATATTTCTATTAATTTTATATTTATTTTTATTTTCATATATTTATTACTTTAACTTTAAACATTTTATATTTTTAATTTAAATTACAACATTAATTTGTTTTTAATCTATCAAATAAATTCTAATCGTAATTAAATAGATATATCTTTGAAATTAATCGTTAGCATAATGATGAATATTTGTAAAAGTTCTATGAGTCGTTTATAGAGAGAAGCAAGTAGTAAACGCGCTTTGTGGTCAGCTAGTAGTAAAAGTAAATTATTTCCAACTAAATTCACATAGACGTTAACCTCTTCTATACGCATATCAAATATCGCTATCACACAAAACACACTTGTTAATTAGCATTCATTTAGATTATAGATAAAACATTAAAGTGTAATTATTCGTAACAATATTAATTGCTTTCTCAAACTTCTATAAGTTTTCTATAAAGATAAATCAGTAAATACAATTTATGGTCAGCCAGTAGTAAAGGTAAATAATTTCCAACAAAATTGACATATACGCTTATCTTTTCTATACCCGTAACAAAATTTGATATTACATGAAACACACAGTTGTTAATAAACATTCACTTATAAATTATACACAAATCATTAAAATGTTATAATTATTTACTAACCCGTTACTTTCTCAAACTCGTTGGAGAAAGTTTTTAGAAGTTTGGATTGTATCGAACTAGTCAACAACATAGGCAAGGATATTTTGAAGCTTTCCCTCGACGGTACGAGCCCTTATCTCGAATTTGTATCGTTAACAAAATGTGCTACGTATGTATCTATGTATGCGTGCGTGTAAATGAGTATGCGTGTGTAGGTATAGGTATCATACCACTTTCCTTTATCCCAGTAAGAGAAGGTAAATATGTATGTTCAAGGAACAGCAAGCGAGATTCTGGATAAAACGATTTTATGGGGCGGAGAAGGACAAGGAGAGAAAGAGAGGGGATAGAGATTCCTAGAATCTGCTTACTATTCAAATGAAAAGTAATCAAAATTTGTTTAAATTCTTTTAGATTTGGATTTGTTCGATTAATATCTAATTTATACTCGGGAGTTTTATTTACCATTATTAATTTTAAATATAATCCACGAATTTTTACACGAAATAGAGAGAAGAAAAATTTTCATGGAATTCGCTTATAGAAATAAAAAGTAATTTCAATTCGTAGAAATGCTTTGATCTCTGAATTCGTTCAAATATGAAATAACTTATACTTATTGTTAACACTTGTTTTATTTATGATTATTAAACTTTTATTAAGTTTTGTATTCTTATTATAATTAATT